TCGTACAGTTATTCCGTTAAATTTTTTAAGTAGTGTCTAAATTCTAAATTTTTCTTTCTAATTATATTTATATTTATTTTGGTTATTTTGTCTTGGTTTAGGGTTTTCCTAAAAAAAAAAAATTTAGATGCCAGTGGAAATTTGATCTGGAGGGGTCATGATAGTTTTAAAACCAGTTATTTGATTTTTTTAGTAATATTAATATTTATTTTTAATTTTTTGAACTCAATATACGTTTCCTAAAAGATATTCTCAATCCGAAGCATAAATCAAAGATAAAAAAAGCCGAATATTTTTTTTTTATCTAAACTTGGGGATATAATAAAAAAGAATGGCATTTCTTAATTTCCTTGCAACCATCAAATTCTTGGAGGGAATGATCAAGATGTTCAAGACTTCAAAATCTATTTTTTTTTTTGTAAAAATAATTATTTAGTTATAATTAGACGCATCCTAAAAATTTCAAATAAAAACAAAAATCTCCCCCTGGGGTCAGGGAGTAGATATATAATAAGGAGTAAGGTTGAGGCCCTAAACAATCAAATTAAGGCACCCCTCAAAAAGTTCACTAGAAGAGGTTGTTTCGATGTTGAAAACCCTCAATTAAATCATCTCGATCTTAAGATATATATAGATATGAGAAAAAAAATAAATTTTAAGTATTGAAAATAGTGCATCTTGTAAGTATTATATAGACTGTCAATTTACAAGATTTTTAAGTGTTCAAAGATCTGCTAATATACACTATTTTTGAATCTTTAAATTATATAATTAGAGACGAAAATAAATTTCCAAGTCATCATAAATATTATTGATACTAAAACAAAATATTTGGAGACAATTTGAAAGCCTAATTTAGTTTGATTGTTTAGAGACTCGGCCTTACACAAACCACACGGGAATAATAATAAAAGTAAGATTGAAACGTTAAAAAATAAAATAAAAATAAAAAGTAAGATAGAAACTGGTGGGTCATGTTAAATTTTTACAGGGGTATATCAGGTCCGCTATTTTTTCTCCATTGTTCCTTATTTAAAGTAACATGCCATAACGATCATGCAGCACAATACTCCATGAACATGGAGTGTTAGAGATAGAGAGAGAAAGAGCTTATATGTATAGAGAGAGATTTCCTTTAAGCCTACCTTGAGATTTGAGAGAGAGAACTTGACTTTGTAATTCAATGGCTTCTCTCTCTACTTCATCTCTCTCTGGTTCATCTGGAACCAGAAAGCCCTGCTTTCCTCACAATGCCATTACCAGGTTCATTAATCCAAGCTCCGTTAAACTCAAGCTACCCTTGAGCCAGAGATCGAGGAATCTCAGCCATTCGATCGATCGCTTGGTCATCAAGAGCATAGCCAGTGATCAGAGGTTGCAGAAGTCTGTCACTGAAGAGGGTGAGGAACTTGCCTTCTTGGATATTTTGTAGAAATTGAAGTTCTTTGCTGCTTTTAATGGACTCTTTGGGCTTTTTTGTTGATGGGTTTTGGCCAAGATTGTAAATTGAAGTGAAAATTGGAGTTAGTGTTCGTTTTATCATCTCCTGTGAACTTCTTTTTAGTAGATTATTTAAGCTTTTTTGAACTATTGATGGGTTGCTCATTCTTAATGATTTCCAATGAATTTTTCATGCACTAAACAGGTTTCTTCATGAATAATTTGACTCACTTTGTAGCTTTGCTTTGAGATAATCAGACGCAATATGGTTTTGTACTTGAATTTATGCTCATAAGGAGTTCAAAGATTTTATTTTTTGATGCGCAATTTGATTTTAGAGCTATTTGATACATAATATTTTATCTCTTGATGGATATTTGGATTCGTAGAGATATTGTTTCAAGATTATGTTGCCTTAGTTTTGTCTTAAACGCCGCTGAATTTGACAAACAACGGAAAGGCCAATTTTTTTAAAACTTGGCTTGGCCTCGGACCCGTCCCTTGCTCGCGCCAAGTAATCTCAGTTGGCCGAGTTAGACTCAGCCAGGTATTTTCCTGGGCCCCAAAACCCTAAGAACTAAAAGAGAATGGTAAAAATTGTTAACAAATAAAAAAAAAAAAGTGAACAAAACCAAAACAACAGAAGAAGTCCAAATAAGCTGAAAAAATATATAAAACATGGTTCGGTTTATGTTTGCAGACATTTCAAAAAAATCCAAAAAAGGAAAAAATATAAGAATAGCGCACATGACAAGAAAAACTCACAAATCATTGTAGAAGGTATCCAAATTACATTTATAATTTTTATATAATGATTTCATATTGTATATAATTTTTGAATTTATTTATTTTTAATATGCCCGACTTTTACTAGCGTGCTCAGCTTGGCCCCAAGTGGACTTGGCTGAGTCCTTGAACACTGGCAAAGATTATAGCAAGTTTGGATAATTCTTTTTTATTTTATTTTTTATGGGTTGTTTGAAGCTAACTTTTCATTGTCTAATGGATCTTTTAAGCCATTTGTTTGAGATTCTATTTACTGAATTAGGGTGGAATGAAGTCGTTGCATATTTGGAATTAATGACCTCCTCTTTTGGTGTCATTTGTGCTCTTGCACCCCTTTTTAATGAAGTTTTCAAGCTTCTTGAAATAATTTTTCCAAAAGTAAACTGAATTGTAGTGAGACTAGCTACTACACTCTCTTACAATGCATTATTTGAGTAATTACTACTATTGAGTCATGATTTCTACTGCTTCTATGTATAATGAGCTCCCCTATGAACTTTTTTAATGTTGCTAATATTGGTTTCAGTATTAGACATGATACACCTGGCTTTTCTTTGAGCCTAATTTGGAAAGGCCTACAAACTTTTATGCTGGACCTGATTTGGAAAGGATTACAAGTTCTCCTTAATCTATAGGAAAACTTTACATGTGGTGCCATCCACATGTAACAAATATGTCACCCTCCTTAGCCGCCCAATCTGAATGGATGGTTGAGATTGCTTTCGTCACAACATCACGTGAAAGTGCTCTTTGATTTTTAATTTGGGTGAGGTTCATATGTGGCACCTTCCTTATATGATAGAAGTAAGGCACACATCTAAGTTTTGTTTGGAGATGTAGTTCCAGTGTCGGAAAACTTATAATGACTTGAAAATCGACTTTCATCTCTAGTTTTGAAATTTGAAATGCCAAAACTGGCATAGATCCAGTTGATCTATGAATTATTGGAAACCTTGAATATAGGACAGTCTAGAGAGCTTGTTGTAAGATGCACTATATTTAGGGCTTGAAATTCCTTTTTTCTTCATATCCATACAATTGGAAGGTTTTCGAACGTCAAAACACTCTCTTCTAGAGGATTTTTGAGGTGCACCGTACTTCAATACTATAAGGTTGACACCTCATATAAACTTTGTCCTTTTAATTTTTTTCTGCAACACATGTTTCAGTGAGATTTAGGATGTCCTAACACCATATTGTGTCGTACCTTAGCAAAAATAGAAAATATGTCAGATACAAATAAATGACCAAAAAGCCTCCAACAAGTTTCAGGGGTATTCTGGTCATTTTACTCTTCAAAGTTATTTCTTTACTATTTTGATCATGTGCCCCTTTGTTTGATGTATGCATGCTCCAAATTCACAGCAAAATGCTTTATAAAGTGAAAAATAAAAACCAAATACTCTGAGCTATTAGATCAAGATCTGACGCTCAAAAGCTAACTTGTGACATTGTGACTGAATCCATCTCAATCATCTATTCAAATTGGAAGGCTGAAAGCAGGAGTCATATATACTTTACATGTGGATGGTGCCACATGTAAAGTTCTCCCTTTATCTTTACCTTTTTCCTATTCTTAACGTCTTATTTAGACACTATTCGGAAAACATCAAGCAGCCTGCTCCAGTGTAATTTGGATGCTGATGTTGTCAACTTTATAGTTAGCTTTGTTTGGAGTCTGGTTAACCATAGACTCTTATGGATTGGTTTATAGCATTGTTGTGAAATGTTTATAGCATTGTTGTGAACTCTTGACTTTTACTGATTGCAAAGTATTAAAGGCACAGATGTGTTTTGTTTACATTAACATTGGTTCGCAAGATATATGACCATATTTTTCAATCAGTGTGGACCCCATTGAATGGTGACAGCTTGAGAACTCAATGGGTTTGTCATGCTCAATGATTTAAAAATTGCCGAATCCCACTCAGACTTGGCCAAATTTCTGCAGTCGGCCGAGTTGGGAGGAAGAACATTGGGAACCTGCCAGGTCTTGCCAGATCCAAGGATTTTTTTTTTCTAACTTTTTAAGACTCCTGAATCTCACTAGGACTCGGCGAAGTCGAGTTGCTTGACTCAGGCTCGGAATCCTTGCGATTCCCAACCCATGTCCATGGTTTATAACACAGATTGTGTCTAATCATGAAGATAATGTGGTATGAGCTCTAGCTGTGTCCTATCTCATGCAAATGAGTTGGTTATAGATTGAAATTATCTATGAACGGCCCCCTAATTTTGACATGTAGCGGGTGCCTTGTCTGATCAACTTCTCAGCCATTATTTTCTGTATATTCAGTTTAAGGGTGGCAGTTGACCATTTAATTGGATTTGTTTTTTTTTCTTGGGAATATAGTAGGTGCCATTAACCTAGTTATTATTTGGCAATATTATTAATTTGAATTCTAAATGTTTATGCGAGTTTCTTGTTTTTTATTTATTTTTTAATCAGTATTCGGTAATTTTGTTTCTTTAATCTCTAAAGATTGTTTGGTGGTGAAACCACTCATTGTTTGGTAGGACCTCTGAAAATGGCAAGCCTTAGGCATAGACATAGCGAAATGTACAGCAGGTAGTTTATATATTACATTACAAACTCACAAGAACACAGCTTATTCTTTCTATTTGTGATAGATTGCGACCTGAGGATTTTTGCACATGTTTTGTCTATCAAACATGACCAAGATGTTTGATTACATTTGTCCTTTATGGGCAATTACTTTCGACACGAAGTTTCTTTTCTCATTCTAGTAAACAGTGCTTATGATCACTCCTTGAAATGCAGAGATTCCAACAGTTCCAAAGCCCGGGGCACTGGATTCCACGTCGATTGCATCAAACATCAAATACCATACTGAATATACGCCATCATTCACCCCGGATAATTTTGGACTACCTAAGGCTTATTTGGCAACTGCAGAGAGTGTCCGTGATGCTCTTATAAAAAACTGGAATGAGACGTATGAGTATTATGACCGGGTTAATGTTAAACAGGCATACTATTTGTCCATGGAATTTTTGCAGGTCTTGTGTTTCTTACTTGAATTTGTTTTCATGGTTGATAACTCTAGCTTAGGAATAAATCAATTTGAGACCATGATCGATTTGGTGTCTGCATTTTGTCTTGAAACTACAGGGTAGAGCATTGTTAAATGCAATTGGAAATTTGGAGCTTACAGGTGCTTATGCAGAAGCACTAAGCAAGTTGGGCCATGATTTAGAGAGTATAGCATCCCAGGTTGGATATGTTTTTTTTTTCCGCCCTCTTTCATCCTCTAATTTTACGAATGCACATTAGTTTCTGAACCTTCTTGAGTTCAAATATGGGATTTACAGCCCCATGTCACCCACTATCCATGACATCAAGAAGGATTATGTTAATTTCTTGACTTTTCCTGATTGTTTGATGACAGGAGTCAGATGCTGCACTTGGCAATGGGGGTTTAGGTCGGTTAGCTTCGTGCTTTTTGGATTCTATTGCAACATTAGATTACCCAGCCTGGGGTTATGGGCTTAGATACAAGTATGGTTTGTTCCATCAGAATATAACAAAAGATGGTCAAGAAGAGGTTGCAGAGAGTTGGCTTGAGGTGTGAATTTTTGTTAACAATATCTGACATAATGATTCCCAACGGTTTTTATGAGATACCCTTTATTTCTATCAATATTGCTTTGTTGCTTCGATTGAGTCTTTAAAATTGATCTTAATATTATTATAACTTTCTTTGTTGATGTTAAACAAATTTTATTTGAAACATTAATATGGTAGGCCTTCATAGTGATCTCTTTAAAGTGCATGTGATGGTGTACATTTGATTGGGGATGATTTATCTATATGCTAAGATAGGTTATTTCTATATACTAATTGGAGTGGTGTTGTTTTTTTCAGTTGGGAAATCCTTGGGAAATTGTAAGGAATGATGTTTCTTATCCGGTGAAGTTCTACGGAAAAGTCCTCACTGGACTGCGTGGTAGGAAATTCTGGGTGGGTGGTGAAGATGTCAATGCAGTGGCCTATGATGTCCCTATACCTGGGTATAAAACTAAAACCACAATTAACCTCCGGCTTTGGTCGACAAAGGTTTCATCTCAGGATTTTGATCTCCAAGCTTTCAATGCTGGAGACCATGGAATGGCAAATCAGGCCCATGCAAATGCTGAAAAGGTTTGAATATCCCTTATACAATGATGTTGTTCACTGCTTCATGCTATCTTGTTTTTTTTGTAAGATACAGTTTGCTCCTATACTGGGAAGTTGTTCACTGCATCATGTTATCTTGCTTTTCATACATACACACACACACACGCATATAGTTGTACTATCAACCTATCAATTTGGTGAAATTCATCCTAGGCTACTACTTAGCATGCTAAATTTTGTGCATTTTCTAAAGAAAATCTCAGCCGTACTGGTTTTGTTTTCCCTATCAGATCTGTTATATATTATATCCTGGTGATGACTCTATGGAGGGGAAAATTCTGCGCTTGAAGCAGCAATACACACTCTGTTCTGCTTCCCTTCAAGATATAGTTGCTCGTTTTGAGAGGAGATCGGGAAATGATGTGAATTGGGAAGAGTTTCCTGAAAAGGTTGCTGTTCAGATGAACGATACTCACCCAACATTATGTATTCCAGAGCTGATCCGAATATTGATTGATGTGAAGGGTTTGGCATGGGAGGAAGCTTGGAGGATTACACAACGGTATATTATCTCATTATACACAGATCATATGGTATATTTACCCAGAGAAGAAAAAAAGGACAGCAGCCTTATATTATTCTTGAATAATTCACAATTGTAACCTTATCCAAAAAGAAAAGGCAAATTCTATAGCAAGTTTGATTGATATTGTGTTATTGAGACATAATTGTATTAGTTTCATGCACGTAATCATGTCTGTTTCTTTCGTGTATTTCATGGTCCTTTTCATGCTCCACAATTGAGAAAATTGCAGAAAGGATTTCAAAATGGATTTTCATTTCATGTAAGAATTTGCACATTTCATTTCTCATATATAGATAACTTATATACAAGCAAGACTGCCAATTAATTTTCCTTAAGAATATAGATCTAGAGATTCGTTTGCACCAAAATCGTTACTCATGTCATTGTTCCGTCATTATCTGCCAGTGCTGTTGCATACACAAATCACACAGTTCTTCCTGAAGCTTTAGAGAAGTGGAATTTGGAGCTTATGCAGAAGCTACTTCCTCGACATGTTGAGATCATAGAAAGGATTGATGAAGAGGTATTGGTTTCCACTTTCTTTGCAATACATTGAGTACTCTGCAGTATTTTAAAACCCGGATCAGTGCCCAGCTGGACCGATCTAGAATGCTGATCCAGGGAGAATTAGACCGATTCTCTGGTGTTAAACATGAAAAATAATAGAAAATAACATGGGTGGGAACCAGGTGAGAATTGGGCGGTTCCTAGAGTGACTTGCCCAGTTCTTTGACAGAACAGAACAGGGCAAGTCGCTCAGAACTGAGCTGATTCCTGGTTCCAAGCAAGAATCGACCAGGGTTACCCGTCAATTTCAACCTAGATCGGTGATTCCCGATTCAGATCGGCAATATTTAAATCACTAGTAATTGACATAAACATTATAGTATCATTCCTTTTTCCAACAACCACAACATGTTCCCCATCTCTAGGTTTATTTTGGTTGTTTAGTTCCTAATATTTATTTTTGCATGCAGCTTATTGGGGAACTAGTTTCACAGTATGGTACAGCAGATCTTGAACTGCTGAAGAAAAAAATAAAGAGCTTGAGAATTTTAGAGAACTATCCACTTCCTGAAGCTGTGGCATCTCTATTTGTCACACCTAAACAGTTAACGGAATCCAAAGATGGTGACAAATCCCAAAATGTAGAGACAAATGCTAAGGTTGAGAAATTAAAAGCTGATTCTAAGAGTAATAATTCTAAACCACCAGTTGAAGATCCAGATCTTAAGCTTCAAAAAATGGTACGCATGGCCAATTTATGTGTTGTTGGTGGCCATGCTGTAAATGGAGTTGCTGCTATTCATAGTGAGATCATAAAGGAGGATGTTTTCAATGATTTTTATAAGGTGAGACATCATTACTTTCTCAAATCCATTTAGGGATCGGTATTTTCTCAGATTTATCATTAGATTGCATTTATACTTCAGTAATATTGTTGTCAATTTGGAAAATTATGTTTTTCTTATATTTTCATTTCGATGTTAATGTGGCATATTGCCTATCATTTTCCATGTTCTTTTTGTTTCCAGTTGTGGCCGGAGAAGTTTCAAAACAAGACAAATGGGGTTACTCCAAGAAGATGGATCAGATTTTGCAATCCAGATCTTAGCAAAGTTTTGACTAAATGGTTGGGTACAGAAGACTGGGTTCTGAATACGGAGAAATTGGCTGAACTTAAACAGGTAAATAATGTGTTATCTCGATTCTTCAAATCACATTAGTTTTATGCATTCTTTCCTATGAAGACCCATTTTATATATACAGACATGCCTCAGTTCTTTGCATAACTGGTGATCCAACACATTTTCAAAGAGAGGCCATACTGCCTTCTATGTATTCATACATCCTAGTAAATTTCCATGGTTATTCGCTTGTGCTTCGAGGTTATTCCATTATGGATCTGTGCAGAATTATATGCACATATAAATGGGTATCCAATCATGTCAGTCTAGTATAGGTCCTTTGGTGAAAACTATAGTTTCTAATTCTTGGTTGTTGGAATCTGGATTAATGGGAGAGCATACCCCAATTATGTACTTGTCATCTGCTGTCATCTTCTTTTCATGGTTGATTCATTGCTACCATAACACTGGCATGCATGGCATAGCAGTTTGCCGACAATGAAGAGCTCCAAAAGGACTGGTCTGCTGCAAAAAGGAGCAACAAGATGAAAGCTGTTTCATTCATCAAAGAGAAGACAGGATACGTAATCAGTCCTGATGCAATGTTTGATATACAGGTAACTATATTCATCCTACAAGTTTTAACCTCGAAGAGCATCTTCCTAGAATTGGCTAAGAAATTTATAGTGTAAGCTAACTAGAAACTTTTAGTCACACACACACACGCACACAAGGCAATCCAAGTTTCTTAAACTAGAAAGTTACATCATCAGGTCAAGCGCATTCACGAGTACAAGCGACAACTATTGAATATCTTGGGCATCATTTACCGCTATAAAAAGATGAAAGAGATGAGTGCCGAGGAAAGGAAACTGAAATATGTACCTCGTGTATGCATATTTGGAGGGAAGGCATTTGCCACTTATGTGCAGGCAAAGAGGATAGTTAAGCTCATAACAGATGTAGGGGCAACAATTAATCATGATCCTGACATAGGAGATCTCTTGAAGGTAAGTGAAATATGAGGGAAAATATACCATAATGCAATGGACTATGAAAACCACAATTCATTGCGTCATCACCGTCCATGAGATGACAACAGTGAAGGCTAAATAAGGCCCAGCACTGGGGTCACATCCCGTACCCTGTCTTTCTCCATCACCATCCATAATTATATGGAATGGTGATAACAAATGAGCCAATGGATTACAAGTTAACAAAGTAGCATGGTCCATTAGATTACAGTATGCTTTTCCTTTGAATTTGGGATGCCATGGGCATGCAAATCTTTTGAAACTTCATTGGATATAAATACATTATGCAATATGGTGTTCACCATTCTCTTCATTCAGGTTGTCTTTGTTCCGGATTACAATGTCAGTGTCGCGGAAACTTTAATTCCTGCCAGTGAACTATCCCAGCACATCAGGTACTGACGCTTTTAATTTCTGTGATCTTTCTCTCTCTCTCTCTCTCTCTCTCACACTAACACACACACGCACAAAGAGAGAGAGAGTTTTGGATCATTGTTCAAGTCGACCTCTCAGAAAAGCAGGTAGAACACTGCTTATTTATTTTACTTCCTTTGACTACTTAAGACACTTCATATTGGTTTGCATGAAGGTCAAGCAAATGGAAATCAAGCTGAGCTTCCAAAGTTGATGTAATAGAATTTGAAAAATATAAAACATGAAGAAAATGATAAAAAGGTTAATGATAAAATGTACTAAATCCTGATACTCTTGCTCAAAATATTAACAATATAACTTTAGTTTTTGGCTTTTGAAGTACTGCTGGGATGGAGGCGAGCGGGACAAGTAATATGAAATTTGTGATGAATGGCTGCATTTTGATCGGTACATTAGATGGGGCCAATGTGGAAATCAGGGAGGAGGTCGGAGAGGACAACTTCTTTCTATTTGGGGCACGTGCCCATGAGATTGCAGGGCTTAGAAAAGAAAGACGAGAGGGCGAGGTACACTCACAGATGCATTAATATCGTATTAGTTGCTTCTTTTTTTGTCAGATAATTTGTTTTTTTTCCTTTCTTTCTTCAGTGAGATATTATTATCTACTCTCTCATTTGTCATTTGGTGTTTTTGTTTTTTGGTTGGGGGGGGGGAGGGAGAGAGAGAGAGAGGTGGGGGCTCGTATATTTTGGAAAAGAATACTTCTTCTATTTGAAAGTGCTTCTCAATACTCGTGGATTCCTTGCGAAATTTGCACTCTTTAACTATTTTTTAGTTTTTCCACATGTTTTTTGTGTTTTTCCATGTAATTTATTTTCGAATAAATGTCTTTGTGACAACTCTTCCACCCCATTAATTCAATGTTTGTTGTTCGTCCTGCAACAGTTCAAGCCGGATCCTCGTTTTGAAGAGGCCAAAAAATTTATCAGAAGTGGAGCATTTGGAAAGTTTGATTACAATGAGTTAGTGGGTTCTTTAGAGGGCAATGAGGGCTTTGGAAGAGCTGACTATTTCCTTGTTGGGAAGGACTTTCCAAGCTATATCGAGTGCCAAGACGAAGTTGATGCAGCATATAGAGACCAAAAGGTATGTTTGAATCTCAAACCTTTGGTTCCTTCTAGTTTATAGGCATAGTTAACATAGAGTTCATACTTGAGCTTTCTTTGTTCCATTTCTTTGTTGAATGTGCACCTTGGTCTTCCTTGCTTTTTAGTCACTGTTCTATAGATAGAGGGAGAACCACTGCAACTTTTACCCTTGTTCCAGGACAATGCCCAGAGGTCTCTCTCTCTCTCTCTCATCCTCGAGTTTTCTTGTCAGTGTGCACATTGAATTGGAAGATAGAACGCAACCAAAATTTGATAGGATTTGTTGCTGGAACACAGGAAAACATACAAGATGGCCAGGACACACACATGCACTCTCTCTCTCTCTCTCTCTCTCTCTCTACATGGAGGGCCAGCATACATACTTTCTCTCTTTATTATTATACTTTAGTTGAAATTTGCTCAATGTTTAGGCTATGTTTGGATGGCGTATAATTCATGGATAACTTGATTTTATACCCGGGGACTACATAATTTGGTGTTTGGTTTGGGGCTTATATAGAGCATGTCAGCCCCTTTTATCATAATTTAGGGGTAACACCAAAGCTGTTTTGCCTTTATCCCATGTAAGGCAGTTTGGTGCGGCGAGTTATTCGCTGCACCCAAACATGCCCGTAATTTATTAAAGAAATACATGCTACTTGTTTTCTCCTAGTTCCTTTTAACCTCTGCATAAATTATGCAGAGATGGACGAGAATGTCAATATTGAACACGGCCGGTTCCTACGAGTTCAGCAGTGATCGTACAATCCATCAATATGCCAAAGAAATATGGGGGATCAACCCTGTCAGGTTAACTTAAGCTTGTTCTTTAGGACCTTTCATTTATTTGTTTATATCTGTTGATTAAGAGAAAGAAGTATTATTATTTAAGAGAAAAATGGTACATAACTTTAGCCTTTTATTTGGGATAAGGAGAAACAAATAAGAGTTGTTTGCCATGCTCGGACGCATGTTATTCCTTTCATGGATATGAAAGATTTTGCAGAGACTTTGTGTATGTTGTTAACGTCTAAACAGCATCTATTGTATGCATGTTCTTGTGTGTGGGGGAGGAGGAGACGGATTGATTAGAGTAGTACTCTTGGATCATCTCAATTTGTGTGTATGTGTGTGTGAGGAGAGAGAGAGAGCAATTGGAGAACTGGTTACTTCTAAACTTACTGGACTAGTTGTTTGCAGGTCAGGACTAGTTGTTTGCAGGTCAGTATTATAGAGAGAGAGAGAGAGAGAGAGAGAGAGAGAGAGAAAGAGAGAGTTTGGAGAAGTAGTTGCTTCTAATGCTACAAACATGCATATGGCCGCTAGAGAATCCATTCTAAGAGCCTTGTCCAAACAGAGCCTTGGCCTGACCTGATTACAGTGTATTTTCGAGGGGCCATAGATGTGACAAAATGATTTACTTATATCAACTTTTGATATAAGGAGGTTATAAGGATGATGCTTCTATAATGCCTAGGCTTTATGATAACAAAATAAAGCCTCACATCAAATCTTTATCCCGAAAGTACTTTCAGCGATGCAAATTCTATGATGGCTCTAAAATCAATTTCCAACACCAACAATAAAATTTAAAATTAAAAAACTGGTACAGATCATGTTGATCTTTGAACACTTATTTTTAAAGTAAAATGGATGTTCTAGATAATTTGTTACAATATACACTATTTTAAGAATTCGAAATCCTAATTTTTATTCACAACCGTAATTTTGATCGATGTAAAGGTTTTCTAATGCTTGACTTGCGATTTTGAATGAGCTATGAGGTGAAGATTTATTTATTTAGATAAGGCTGCAGCCCTATGAAACCATTTACCTATAATAATTGGATTTGATATTGAGCAGTTTGGGATGTCATTAATTGAACTTGTCAAAATAAAATTTTTCAAACATCGTGATATACTGAAATCGATTAGATTTCACATTCAATAGCTAAATGATTGTGCCTGCCTTGTACAAAAAATGACTAGTATTACATCATATCATAACATACAAACTTTATCATAGATTACGAGAAGTATATATGTGCTTACAAGCACCAATGAAAAACTGCGTAAAAAAAGAAAAAGAAAATAAGTTACCCTTTTATGAGTGTGAGAATCCAAGATTAATAAATTCTAGAAATTGAATAATGTGGATAGCATGTGGAATCAGCTACTATACAGCCAAAAAAAGTCCCTTGTATGGTGGTTATCAAAAAGTCAAAATGTTTAAAAATACCAATTAATTAGAAAAACATCTAAAGTATTCAAAGTCACTTGTTAGGAAAACTATTTAAAAAGGAGGGAAAGGTTTCTGCTTTCCCCTTATCTAGCCGTCATTTATGATTTTTGATCTAGATCCAATGTCAGTATTTGTTTTTAATTTTTTTATCTACAAATTATATGAATATGAAATTTTGTACGTACCATCATTTCAATAAGGTGCACTTAAAAAAATAATATATATATATACATATATATATATATATATATATATATATATAATAAAATACAATGACAAAAAATATCCCGAAAACTTTTAAAAGCCTTTTGGTCCTTTTATTTTATTGAGAATATTTTTTTATATTTTTTACAATTGTGAGTTTAAGAGAAGAATGAATGTCCAAAATTTGGTGTCAAAAAATTTTGTTAAAAAAACAAAAAATAAAATAGGATAGAAGTGTGATATTGTGAGCATCTCAGCTATCCAATTAGAATGGATGGATAAATCTCAGCTAACCAATTAGAATGGACGGATAGATAGAGAGAAATATATAAGTTTTATACAGTAAAAGAAATAGAAAGCTTGCCCCAAAAAGAATAGCCAAGATAGAGTTTGTTTTCCAGTAATAAATATATAAAATGCAAATGCAAACAAAAACCGTAGTAATATACAGCCAAAAAATGGACAAAAAACTTCAACAATTTGAGCACCAAACCATATCACTAAGAGCACTCAAATGCTCTTTTCTAGTTTTTACATTACATGCAACAACTTTTAGAGTTTTCATATTACATCAGGCACTCAAATGCTCTTTTCGAGAACGATATTTTTAACGAAAAATCGATCCCTCTTCCATATAATGCAAAACACCAATTGATTACATTTCACAGGAAAGCCATTAAATATGAGTTTGGAAAATTCTGAACGCAGCATAAGCCAATGAAAGAACAAGAACAGCAATACACAGATGGCTTGCATCAAGCAAAGCTGGCCCTTTCAAGTGCTCTTTAACCTTGATCATTTGAGTCTCTAAACATTTTCTCTCTCATCATTACCACCTTGTGATCAATGGCCTTGCTCCCTGAAAACTGGATCTCTAAATATGGTTTCTCTCTCATCATATAATGGTTCCGGGTCCTCTTTGCACCAAGCAACAATGGCCTGGTCTTCATTATCCTTGTTACTTGTGATTTTGGATTCGTCCCCAGCAAGCTCTTCACTTGGACTGGATGGTTTCTCGACTCTCAAACAGTCCTCAGAGCTGCATGCTTCTGCTTTTTGAGTACCGCCATCTCGTTGTAATCCCTGAAATTTGCACCACAAGGAGGAAACTGAAAAACAAATTTCTTTGAAATGGCAAGAATGTTTCCATTTTCCTTCTTCACTATAAAGCTTTTTTTCTCGTTTTCCAAAACCAATCTCTCTCTCTCTCTCTCTCTCTCTCTCGCATGCACGCTCGCGCCCCCCAACCACCCACCCACAGATTACATATTAAATTTCTGAAAGATTTCTACAATCGGAACCGCTGTCCACCTTCTATTAATGTCTATAGACTAAGGAAAATTGATTCATGAGTTGGGGAATGCATTTTTACATTTGCATCCCTGAGGTATAAAGCATCCATTTTACAGATGGATGCAAATGGGCGGCCCATCTAAAAAATTTGAAACTAACGGTCTAAATGTTTCTTTATAAAACAATTATTTTTAATTTTTTAAAATTATTTATCTTTCATATTCATGATCTCCATGTGAGAGATTATACGTCCTTAAAAATTGCGTCCAAAAATCCATCTCAAAATAGATTGATTTTTAAGAGGGGACTCATTTCTACATAAACTCATAGAAACTGTGTCCACAAACTAATGCACAAAACAAGATTGAGAGAGGTCAATCCTAGAAAAATAGGAATATCAAGCCTAGCTGGTGTGTATTCTCTTATTTATCTTATCAACTTTTGTACATTTTTGGTTTGATGTGGACTTAGGTCTTGATAACTTCTTGACAAATCGATGGGTAGATACTGCAAAATGAACAGGAAAGTATATAAGCCAGTGACTCGAAAATGAGTAGGGAAAAGTACCGCTAAGACATTCTTCAGATTCTCAACTTCCTTGGATCTATCTTCGGCTAATTTCTCAGCTTCGCGACAACAAATCTCTGCAGCCTGAGATCTCATCTCTTCTTTGCGTACCTGGTGGAGAGAGAAAGAGAGAGAGAGAGAGAGAGAGAGAGAGAGATTTAGTGATAGAAGGAAGCCAGCCTTCCAAGATTGCCTATTTGTTCTTAACATGTCAATCTTATAAAGAGAGATAAACTTCACGCTACTGTAGTGTCTAAGTAGACAAGAAAATGGAAAGTACACTATAATCCATTGAACAGAATAACAATAGTCAGATGCGGTCATCACTGTTCAATGAATTGACATAGATAGTGGGACCCACCGGAACAGGACAAGACCCAATGCCATTCTCAATCCATCATCGTCCATTTCATAGGAGGATGATGCCACCCAGTGGACCATGTTCTTTTCATAGGCCAGCTGATTTTAGTACACTTCCTCTAAAAGCAATGAGATTGTATATTTGGAAAAAGGAGTACAACCACCCCCACCAACACCATATTTCACATCTGATGGCTAAAGGTGATTGTGACATTGTACAAAAGGTAACTTGTCTAATTGTATACTTCCTCAAAAGAAATAGAGTGCTAGAATAAAAGCAGATAATTCCATACTTGAGCTTCTAACTCCTCAATCCGATGCAAAGAAGCTTGCTCAATGCAAGCACGTCGGCTGCACTCCTCTTCGAGCATGCCCATGACTTGATATCTCATCTCAGCCATTTCTTGGGTTAGATCTTCAGCATCTTCCTTTGCTCTTGCCTTCTCTTTTCTCAGTTCCTCCTAAACACGGTTACAATACTGTTGATTTAAGGGCACAACTTAGTTGTATTCCCAAAGTGCTATGAAGTATAATTCATTCCAAAATTTTCAAATTTTCAGAATGGTTGGGTCTGAGATTTGAACTTTTGACAAAATCCATTCTTAAGAATACTAAATTATTTAACATGGAAAAGCTGAATCAGCCAAAATTCAGAATTCGGTCAAAATACGCTCCAAATTCAGAAGCAATTTTTGCCAAAATTTCAGCTTATAAATAAAAATAATATGATCTTAGAAAACCATTTTAAGATAGTAAAAGTATACCATGCAACAATGGTATATGGTACATAGTACATCAAAGGGGCATCCACCATCTGTTGCAAATGATGGTTGGTGCAGATGAACAATAATCAGGATCAACGATGGCATTCACCTTGGTATAGCGAATCTCCAACATTTGCTATCCAAAAGGGATGGTACGACATACCATATACCATTAATTTAAAAAGCAGATCGTTAGGGCAAATCATCCACCCACCGATCCCAATTCTTATCACCTAGATCGGCAGAATCGCTGATCCCGCAAATTTGAAGGGGGGAACAAAAAAAGAAAAAGAAAAAAGCAAACAGAGAAGTTAACATTAAATCTATTACATAAGGTATTGCATACTATAACACCCATCTATCTTTCGAATAAGGAGGTCCAACTAATTCTAACCATCAAATGTCAAATCAAGACAGCTTAAAGTATGTCAGAATTTGAACAAATTTTCTTTGAACTTTGGGGTAGATCAAGCACACATTCTCAACCTTCTGATTTCAAATCTAGCAGCCAGAGGTGGCTGTGACCCTCCTTATACAAAAGATAAATGGTCTTTTGTATATATTTCCATTACATAATGTATGAAATTTGTATCATGTAGTGCGAATGGCATAGTTGGGAGCACCGTATGACCTTTTACATAAGATCCAAGGTTTGAACATTGGGTGTGTAAAGAATATCTGATATTGCAAACATGAAGGAGTAAAATACTTTTGAAACGTTTAAAATACTTTTTGAATGTTGTAAAAACAAAAAAGAGGGTCAGAGGAGGTTCGAACCTCTGAACTCGAGTTCATTGACTGCCAGGTCTAACCAACATGCACGTTGAAGTTTTTTATCATAAAGAGTAAATATTAATTATTATATTTTTGATGAATCACCAGTTCTGACCAAGGACAGGGATAGTCATGGACGGTTCCTGATCTGGATTGGCGATTACTGATCCGGATCAGCCATTTTTTAATCACTACCATACACTATCAGTATACAGTATCCTTTCCCCTTATGGTAAAAGATGAGAAAGGCAAACTACAAACCCTGAGCTGCTCGATAAGAAGTTGGGATTCACGGATTTGATGTGACATCTTCTCTAATTCATCATCTAGGCACTCGTCCGAGGCATCTATAATTGAAAGTTTCGAAAGGATGGGCAGAAGAGTTTCTTCACCAGTGCTTCAGAAATAGCATAACTAATTACTACAAATGTACCAAAGTCACTAAGTTTAGACTGGTAAAATATAAGAAATTTAGCTCCAATAGTTCCTACGGACAACTCTCTCTCTCTCTCTCTCTCTCACACACACACACACACACACACTAACACAGACTCTGTTGACCAAGAGATAACATAGGGATCTGAAAATTTAAATATAATCTTGAAACTAATCATACCTTATTTCTTTTTCTACAGTAAGCTCATTCTCTAGCAAATTCGCCATGGATTGATTAAAACCTAACATTGGTAGTCGTATTTGTCCTTTCAGCAATTGGTCAAGATGGGTTTCCACTTTATGACAAAATAGCACAGTAGTCTTCTCACAGTTAGCTAGCTTCTCTTGCAATGTGATATTCTCCTTCTCCAAGGAGGTGATCATTTGCTTAGCCTCTTTGAACTGCTCCTTGTATAGTTTTATCAAATCAGCCATCCCTGCTGTTTCTTTAGCTGCGTTTTCATTGGACACCTTAACCTCTGTGTATTTTGCTTCACAAGCCACCAGTTCATGCCTAATGCTCTCTATCTCACACTGACTTTCCAAGGTAAGAGATGAAATTATTACCTCTAGATTCTCTATATGAAAGGCTGAATTTTCAAGCTCTTTTTTCTTGAGTTCAAGTTCTTCCATCAAGGCTAAACGTTCGGAATCCGACTTCTCAAGTTCCTCCCTCAAATAGGTAACCTTTTCATGTAATTTTGCAGCTTCCACAAGCTTCAGTTCGAGACTATGAATGTGCTCCGCCACATAACTTGCCTCCACATTCTTCAGATTTAGCTGATCCTGCAAGTAACCTGAAAACCCATGATTAATATAAGCTTATCTACCAAAGAAGAATATCACGTTCAAATATTTATACACTAGAAAAGAGTAAAATATCATTTCTTATTCTTTTTTTGGGAAGTGGGCATATTTTATTTCGCTAGATGAGTATAAAAGTCAGAGCTTATGCAATTGTGAACCCTCACTTTACAATTGCCAGAACCAAAAATTTTGAGGTACAAGCAAGGAAAATCTGCATATATGAGGGGCCATAATTAACACCTATTTTTCGGGAGCAAGTCCTCAGTTCACTTTCCAAGCTCCCAATGTGCATCATATCTTCTGAATGGGCATCATGTAGCTCCTTTAATTCAGACTCCAACCTCTGTATAGTAAAAGCTGGGACATTAGATCAAGCACTGGGTAATTGTATCCGTATACAAGATACAAGTATTGAAGCTTAATTAGATGTAGAAGGCAGTATTGTAAAACCTGAAAATAAGAGAAATATGAAAATATTATCCCTAAGATATTTGGGTTCTTGATAGCAAGGAGAAATTGGTGAGAAGAATTTTTTGTATTAGAATGGGGAATTTGATCAATGATAACAATTGTTAGTCACATGAATCATCTACTTGATAAAGTATATGAACCAGAGATTTTTTATGGAAACAAAAGAAGGTCATCGATTTAAGCTGCAGTATCCCTCAACCTTTGATTCCAATCCTCAAGCCGGAAAGGTTGAGCCCCATTAATTCAAATTTGAACTACACAAGACCTCAACCATCAGTCTTTGCGCCCTACATCAGTGGCCAATTGTACAAATTGGTCAGTTGAGGGCCTCTGTGAAGAACATCCAAGTCCTAGCTGACCAAAAATCAATTGTTGTTACCACATTTGGGTGTTCTTAATGTTGGTCTAGGTGAAACTCAAGTAACCGAAAGGAAGAGCTACCTGTTTGTTCCTCTTGATAAAGGACAAAAATTTTCCTCATTTTTTTTTAGGAGACGAAAATTTCCTCATGTTACTGGCAATCCTACTCCCACATCTCTTTTAGTAGCTACATTGAGAATAATAAGGGTTGGAATCCCTGCCAACGGACCAAACTTCAGTCCATTGACCACAGAATTCATCTAGCTACCTTCAAAAGTCATCCCCAAGTTCAAATTAGGCAATAAGCTTTGGAGCCAAGTTAGGTTTCTCTAGTAATGGCCATTTTCACCAAGAGATAGATGTGCACTATTTTGAACCTTCTTTGAGGATTCCAACGTGCCAAACTTCAGTCCATTGACCACAGAATCCATCTAGCTACTTCCAAAATTGTCATCCCCTAGTTCTAGTTCAGGTTAGGGAATAAGCCTTGGAGCCAAGTTAGGTTTCTCTAGTAATGTCCATTTTCACCAAGAGATAGAAGTGCTGCACTATTTTGAACCTTTTTTGATAAGACAGATATTTCAATTAATCCAAACCCCATTGACTTTGCCGACAACATTGAAAAATTTCATAGTCTTATCAGGCTCACTAGATTAGATTATGATGGTGTTTATCAAAGTGATGGGCCTTATCAAAATTGTATTTCTTGGACCATCGTGATTTTCACTTGTTTGTCATTTGTTATGAGTGCATTCCTTTGGTACAGTAACTCCTATCATAGGCATTCAGATCCCTAATGTTCTAACCTTTATCTGCATGAGAAGGGCAGGATGCACCATCAGGGGGAAAAGGAAAAAGGGAAAGGAGGAGGGGAGAATGCAACACAATAAGGTTCACAAGATAAGTGTGAAGCTAACATGCCTCTAACTGTTCTTAACATTATCCTCCTCTGGTCCACTGCTTATGGGGAACTCTTAAATCTGATTAGATCATAGAAACTTTCCCATCCTCCTTAATGCGCATGGATGTACTTTGCTTTTCTTTTGACAAGTGGAGATGTTTTCATTTTAACTGAAATTCAAGGTTTATTCCATTATGAGGTGAAGGTCAATTATTAGACATGTTCTGTCAACTGTCCTACCAATTCAGGTAACTGTAAGTTTCTTTCCCCTGCAAAATCAATCTTCATATTACCGTCACATATCATTAAAGAAATGAAGAAGCTCATGCATTTTTTCTTGCAAAAGAGCAAATCAGCTACCAAAAACTATCAGAAAAGACACCACATGAGAAACTAAAAGACTTACCTTGATCACTTCACCATTTTTGGACTGCTCAAGCAACAATGATTCTCTTAGTATGTCATTTTCCTTCCTCAGCTGGGTTGATGTGTCAGTTGCAAAGGAACAATAGTTTCATTAATTGTATCAGTATTTAAGAAGGTTCATCATCCATTAAAAAAACAAGTCCAGTTACTCCAATCGAAAGATCAACACATTGAAATGAGCCAAACGAAATTTTAATCCAGAATTAGCATAGTTTGATGAACTTTCTTAATATTTGGACAATCAATTTTACTATTGAAATATCTGATGAAGGATTGGAACAATTTATTCAGAATTTCAGATGTACCTCTCAACAAAGGATACTTAGCTCCAAGAGTAACAAAGAATTTCTATCCAACATTAGTATATCACCATCCGTTAAAAAGCCAAGTCCAGTTACTCCAATCGAAAGATCAGCACATTGAAATGAGCCAAACCAAATTTCAATCCAGAATTAGTATAGTTTGATGAACTTTCTTAATATTTGGACAATCAATTTTACTATTGAAATATCTGATGGAGGATTGAAACAATTTATTGAGATGTACCTCTCAAGAGAGGATACTTAGCTCCAAGAGTAACAGAGAATTTCTATCCAACATTATTATATGCACAGAGAATTTCCATCGAAAATTAGCATAGTTTGATGAACTTTTAAATGTTTTGATAATCAGTTGTATATTTGCGAAATCTGGTGAAGGCTTGAGATAAATATTGTTATTACCTCTTGACACAAAATCCCTAGCTCCAAAAGTTCATCTACATCAACAGAATATGCATTTTCACTCTTGAAACTACTAGACATCTGCACAGAAATGACGATACAACATACAATCAGGCAGTCAGCAAAACAATGTGGGAGATAAACCTTTAAAGCTATATGAGGGACAGTTATAATCATAATCATTGAGCACATGAATGGAAAAAATACTACTAGGATGCACAAAATGAAACAGAGTACTCAACTGAATTTATTAAACAATATCATCAGTGCATACATAAATCAAGAAGTATTAGATAATACATGAGCAGGACAGCATGATAGAGTGACTCAGAAATTTGAGATTTGAGTAATTTAGACATTATGGAGTGCATAGCTGCATATATAATGCATCATACTTCTTTTCTTTCTTTTTTTTGAATGATCATGCATCATACTTATTAGCATTTAGATGCTTACAGATACACTATTAGTCAATCTTATACGCATAGATATACATACACGATTGTGTACACACACACCATACACATATACACACAAGAGGATAGGTGGTCCAATTCTCAGTTAGTTGCTCCTGTCTCTACACGGAAAACTCCTGATAAGACTCATACTCATAATCAGTATGATCTTTCTTTGCTGGTTTACTCCATTCTCCTGCCCCCAGACAAGGGCTTCCTTAATGTAGCAATCTTTGGCTTCCTTTCCACTCCGCCAAAGGACCCATCTTTGCCACTTCTTACTCTAGGCTGAATGGTATAAAATGCCTGCTGTCCTTGTCCCTTTTACCTTAATGATAAGAAAGATATAGGGGTAATCCTTTTAAATAGTTGCATTATACATCCAGCAACTCATATATGTCAAAAAAAAGAAGAGAAATTATAGAAAAGATGAATATCTCAAGATAAGGTTGTCAAAAAAAAATAAAATGATAGAAGAGGGGCCACATGGATGGAGATATGGAGCCCAAATAATCATATAAGTGCACAAACAATATGACCCAGTGCCTGATGGTTTTGATAACCTCATAACCTTGAAGGAAGGACAAAGAAAGTGCTACGAGTTACATATAAACCAATCAATGAACCCAAGCCCACCCATGGTCCAAATGCGGAAAGGCCATGGTGATGAATGCAACTTCAAGAATGAAAATGGTATAACTTCGAATCCCACCTGTGTCATGGCTTCCAAAATCAAGATAAAGATGAACTGTGAAGTTAAAGGAAGGAGTTCTAGAATGTAACCTTGTTCTCATTCAAGATTATGATTATACATGCAAGTTCCTTGGTTAAAGATCCAAACTCCTTTAACTACTAGGAATCTAGGAGTTCCTAGCATATTACCCTGAATTTTGACAAATGCAGAGTAAAGCTTTCAAAATAAAGAAAACCAACATTAAGGACGTCGGAATGAAGGAATATGGGACTCAATCCAAATAAAATAGCAACAAATTGGTAAAGAACCTGTGATGAAAACTCCTAAAGGAAATATTCTATTTACAAATTAAACATGGCCACCAATGAACTCCTTGCAAAATTCATTGGACTCCAAATAAAATACATAAAAATTACCATTGCCTTTTGCTGATGACTACAAACTGCAAAAGTTTCAACCCTTCAATCAGAGATTTTTTTTTTTTGAATATGTCAACATTCCTTTAATCAGAGATTTTTGAATTTGATTTCTACTCAATGTTCTATACATCAAAACAGAAATGAAATCTACTTAATTTTTCCAATGCAATCCCAATATGAAAAAATAAACATATCTCACACATCTGATCAAAACATAAAGTTTTTTTTCACTGGTTTAATTAAAATTAAGAGTTAAAGACCACTAATAGCGACAGAAAGAGCCCAACAAATCATTCTAATAACCTAGAAAAAAAAAGTGATGAGTAATATAATTACCAAGAGCAGTATAATTTTTGTCCATATCATCAACCTAGTCACCTCGTGAAATGTTAAGTATGACAAATTTCAATCATGAGCCATATAGCACAACCTCCATAACAATTTAACGAGAGAGAGAGGGAGAGAGAGAAAGCAAATACCTCAAAGGGCAAAAAGATTTCTTCAGAGTTCAAAATATGATGAACTCCATTACAGATTATAAAGAGATACAAACTCTGTGTGTGTATGTGTATGTAGAGGGAGAGAGAGAGAGAGAGAGAGAGAGGAGGGGAGGGGG